ATTAGCGAAAGATTAAAGCTAGATAATTAAAGCTTGGAAGATAAAATGCGCTGGTGAAATGTGAGTACTCCTTGTCGGATTTTATTGACTGGTTGGTCATAGCCAAGTAAGTATTAATCATTATAAATTATTGATCAAGAATATTGATTATGCTCATTTGTATGCCAATTAATATTTAATTTCTTTGATAATCTATTCTAAATATTTAATTTCTTTGTCAGATTGATTACAATTAATGTAAACTATTAGAAAATGAATGCATATTTTTAGTTATATAATGAAGATACTTATATTCTCCTAAGATTTACGCAAATCTGTCAAATGTAAAAACAATTTTACAACATTTAACTACTATTCACTTCAATTTTGTTTAAATTTTTAGCAATATTCTGTCTGATGTGTGTGTGTGTGTGTGTGTGTGTGTGTGTGCGCGTGCGTGCGTGCGTGCGTGCGTGCGTGCGTGATGCGTGCGTGCGTGCGTGTGTGTGCGTGTTTCATTAGCAAACTAAATTTACTTTAGGAAATATTGTACGTATGCATCCTAAATTTATGATTCTTGCTTTAGATCATAAAACTAACTTAAATGATTTTTTACGCATATCACTTCTTTTTTATATGTATTTGTATCTACAATAATTACAAATCAAATTTTAGTGTTACTGTAGGCATGGTGGCGGCTACTTTACACCAAGTTGTGAAAAGGAGCATTCAAAATGTTTCTCTAAATCAGGAACTAATCCTACGATTTGGTACAGTGGGACACTTAGTAAAACACCACTTTTGTGTAAAGTTGTTGCCACCATTCTTCAGATAGATGATTTTGTTTTCACTGCAGCAGGCAAGACTGTGATAAATCCACTCTATTGTAAGAAATCTGCTGACAATGTTCAAAGTACATCAAAACTGGGGTTTCTGGATTCGAAAATAATTCATGAATGGGAAGATAGCGTGATTGCTTAGTGCAAGCATTTTCCATCATTGATATGTAGATTAAACTGCAGCCTCTAAAATGTATAAACATGCATGATTTGATAATTTATTATTAGGTCTTAGAATAATTTCGAATAAGTCCTGGATCGCTAGCATCTCATCGCTAGACCAGGAATTATACACGTTGCCCTCCTTTGTTCTACACCAGGGGTGTCAACCTCGCGGTCTGAGTTGAACATTTTTGCGGCCCAGTCAATATATCCGAAGCAAAGTAAAAATAAAATCGAAATGTGAATAAGAAACGAAACCTGCATATAAAATTATAATATACTTTATTTATAAACTATACGGATCATTTTAAATTGTCCACTCGAAAATGTAAGATTTTAATTGGCTGAAACGGAGTCCGTTTCACACTAAGCCATCAATTAGATAGTACATAATCAGGTTATCTTGCTCCAAGGTTCTCAATCAATTCTGGGATTTGAAAGGAAAAATATGTAAGTTTTTACAAACTATAAATCAAGATACAAGCTTGATCTCCGATCAAATATGGTTGCACGATTTATCTTTTATGGTTGATATAACCAAACACTTATCCGATTTAAATTCATTGTTACAAGGCAAGGATCAGATCATAACGAACATGTTTGACATAATTAAAAAGGCATTCAAATGTAAACTATTTCTTTGGAAAAGGCAACTGAAAAATGAAGATTTAACGCACTTCCCAACGTGCAACAAGAAAAAATCTAGCTTAGATGCTGCTGCATCGTATCAAAAATACGCAGGAAAAAATTTCAAATCTTAGAACAGAATTTGAAACAAGGTTTAAAGATTTTAATTCTTTGGAAGACAAATTTTGTTTGTTTTCTTCGATTTTCTCAATAAATATAGACTCAGTACCCAGTTATATGCAAATGGAAGTGATTGAGATTCAGTGCGACTCAAATTTGAAAGCAAAATTCATTGAAAAGGGTGTGCCTAAATTTCACGAATATTTACCAGCAAGGTTTGAAAATTCGCGTATGAAATTATTTCTAAGTTTGGAAGTACTAATCAGTGAGAGCAATTATTTTCTGTTAAGAATGGAAATAAATCTCCTGTCCGAAACCGTATTAATAACGCTCACGTTGGGTCAATTTTGAAAGTAGTCTCGGCCAATAAAATTTCTTCCAAAATGGAAAAAATAATAGCAGAGGAGAGATGTCAAGTATCAGGACGTAAACAATAATTTAACTTTATATATGTTTATTACATTTCAAAATAAAAATATTTGCTTCTATAAACAATAATTTTTTTCGCGGCCCACCTAAAGTTAAGTATTATTTATGTGGCCCAAATTAGCTTTTGAGTTTGACACCCCTGTTCCACACTGTACAAGTGATACAAGTGTACATGCCGAGGGTATAAATATTTTACCAAATTTAGCATAGCGTTTCTCTTTTAAAATTAGTAATTTTCATTCATATTTTTATTTAATAAAACTATTTGAGAGTGTAAATTCAGAAATATCAGAAACATTCATTTAATAATTTTAATTTTCAATAAAGCAAGTTTTATGGCATAAAAAATTTTATTTACTTAGGAAATAAAATTCAAAATATTTTACTTTGAAGTTATTATACTACAATAAACACATCTCGTAACTCTAAGACCTTTTAAATATCTTAACACAATGAGCTCAGATAAAAAACAGTGAGTTTTATGGCACTGTTAATATTCACAACGTCATTATAGCAAAAGTTCGAGAGCATTTCAATGCATAGTAAAAAATTTAAACATGAAAAGAAAAATATTTTATGATGTACTTTAAAATTTTTGTAGTTCTAAGAATATTGCACTAGGGATAAAATCATTCCATTAATTCTGTATCTAAATAAAATTTATCTTATCTTACTCCATTTCTAATGATATAAATTTTGATGTGAAATGTATTGTCACTGAGAAATAAGTTTAAAATTCTGGAGTCAATTGAAAAATAAGCATAATACTGCTTATAAAAAAGAAATATAATATAATTAATCGGTAAGATTCCAGGCTTTTTCGATGTGCACTGATAAAATGCTGCTTACTTACTTGAAAAAAATTATTAGTTAAATGTACTTCAAAAAAATTACATACTGGTATAGGATATTTTTCTTCGATTTGGTTGCTGACATAGTGAAAGCGTTTTTTTAAGTCTGATTGTTAACACTTTGTAGTCAAAAGTCATATAAATTCGACGTCTGTTGTCAAAAACACTTTTTAGATTCTGATTTGATCTCATCATTGGGGGGAAAACTTTGCCCAGTAAAATATTTTTGTTAAGTCACTGGGAGCAAGGTTCAAACTGTAGAGCGGGTGATCTAAAATTTTCCATTTGAAACTTTTAAATACTTTGGTTTTGAAGATAAGTTTATCACATGATCCATGCCATGACCATAAGTTTATCCAAAGGACTCACAGAAACATTTCTTTCGCTGCCATCGGTGAAGTATCTTCACTTTCCGGAAATGCCTCGTATATTGCAAAATGTACAGCAGCTACTTCAGAATATATTTTAGCTACTTCTCATCTTGAAAACTACTCTAACTGTAACGTTTGTGATATGGGATAAGTTTCTGAAGTGATGTATCACATAAATTTACTACCTGGAAATGGAACTAACAGGTTTCAGTTCTCTGACTATCTATGAAAAGTGGATAAGCAGGCAAGAAAATTTCCTGGCTGTGAGGAGCAAGAAAGAGATTATAAAGCAGGTGGTTAAAACTCCCCATAGATATTTTTGCTTGTAGCTGTTTTTTATCAATATTTTTTTCCTAAAAGAAATTGATCTTGATATTGTTTCATCATTGTTATTTAATGCTCGTAAAGAAATCTCAAAACCTTATTTTACGAACGAAAAATTAGGAACAATGAAAAATTATATTCCACGCAAGAAAAGATCAATCAATGAATACTTTAAAACTTATAAAAATTTATTGAGATCGCAAGATTAACAGTAAATATTATTACTTGTAAAAAGTATGAATGAATATTTATTAATTACCGGCAAGGAATTCTGTATAAATTCACTCAAATATATTCATTGTGCTACAAAGATAGGTTGATTTTATTAAAAAATGTAGAAATTATGTACATTAAAAATCAGGCACGTAAAGTAAGTACTAGGATTACACTCAATATTCGTGAGAATATGAAATAGTTGCATTTAAGTTTGCAAGTGCATTTTTAAAGAAAAAAAAATGTTCTAGAGATATTAAAAAATGCAGTCTCCATGAAACCCCTCAGGTTACAAAAAATATTGTTAGTGGCCATTGCATCGAGATTTAGAGTTCTGCAGCAGTTTGGCAAAAATTGGGTAAATTTTATTTTTTTCTTCGATGCTCTTTCTAATGAAGTTGCTTGTTAATTTATTAGAGTTCCTAGACGTAAATGAGAGCAGATTAGAACTTGACTTCTAAGTAGATACTTGTCTTCTGAGTTGGGTCCTAAATTTAAAAAAGAATCTGAAGATATTACTGACAAGAATATGGAGCAATTTTTTTTTTATTTATGCCATCTATATATTTGAAACACAATGAGAAATACATTCAAATTCAAGGAAAATTCAGAGGTGGGGGAGCAGATTAAGGAGCAAGATACAGACTGACTGTAAATATATAGATGCAAACCACAATTCCAAGAAACGAGAAACCATATTTTTTTTATAAATTGATCGAAGGTAAATTAATTACGGCGAAAATAAATAAGGATATCATCTTTAACCAAAGTTACATTGAGAAATACATTCTTATATAACTAATATGAGAGCTTATTAAATTTATTGGAAATATACTCCGTGTAGACCAGGGGTCTCCAAACTTTCCAGCCTTAGGGCCATACTGATTACTCCAGTACGTTCCGAGGGCCAAAACCATATTTTCATTGTTGCCGGTGGTAAAAAGTGAAATAGTCCACTGATGAAAAAAGAAGTCCGAAAAAGTACGCAACGTGTGGAATATAACATTAAACGTCATCATGAAACAAAACATTTTCAAAATTACTCAAAATATACAGGAAGTTTGCGGACAGAAAAATTCGAAGCTATGAAGCGCGGATTGAAATCGCAGCAATCTTCATTTACAAAACTCAAAACTGAACAAGAGGCTGCAACTCGTGCCAGCTTTCGTGTGGCTCTTGAAATTGCAAAACGTGGAAAACCATTCACCGATGGAGAAAAGATCAAAGAATGCATAATTGCAGTAGCCGAAGAAATGTGCCCTGAAAAGGTACATTTATTAAAAACTGTCAGTATGTCAGCAAACACTGTGGCTCGAAGGGTAGAAAACATCGCTGAAAATATATCCTCTCAACTGTTCGACAAAAATGGACATGTTGTGTGGCTTTCTTTGGCCTTGGATGAGTCAACGGATGTGTCAGATACTGCTCAAGTGTTAATTTATATTCGAGGAGTAGATAAAAGCTATGAAGTGCATGAAGAACTTCTTGATATGTATAGTATTCATGGTACAAATACTGGTACAGATATTTTAAAAGGAGTTGAAATGGCCATTAATCAAAAGAACCTTCGATGGAAAAACTTGAAATGTATTACAACTGATGGAGGCAAAAACATGAGTGGAAAAGATAAAGGAGTGGTCGCTCTTGTGTCAAAGGCTGCAGAAAATAACGGTGGTTCAAAACCATTAGTCTTACATTGTATCATTCATCAACAGTCTTTGCGCGGAAAATGTTTGGATATGTCTGAAGTTCTGAAACCAGTCATATCAACTGTTAATTTTATCAGATCTTTTGGGCTGAATCGCCGACAATTCCGACAATTTATTGCAGAGATTGGAGAAAATGACTTACCTTATCATACTGCCGTACGTTGGCGTAGTTGTGGGAAAGTCCTTCAGCGCTTTTTTGAACTTCGAGCAGTGATCGAAATGTTTTTGAATGAAAAGCATCGCCCTCTTACTGAATTACAAAACAACGCGTGGCTGTGGAAGTTAGCATTCTATGTTGATTTGACAAAACATGTGAACGAACTGATTTTGAGATTGCAAGAAGAAAACCAGCATCTTCCTGATTTATACACTAATATCAAATCATTCCGGAAGAAATTGATACTGTTTCAATCACAACTACGAAGTAAATGTTTTTCACATTTTAAACATGTGAAATATTCAGCCACACCACTGAGACTGAGTTTCCTATCAATTTTGCAATCGAAACCTTGAGTGCTTTGAAAATAAATTTTGATACTCGTTTCTCGGACTTTGATGCCATTGAGAATCAAATTAAGATTTTTCAGAATCCTTTTGATGCTGACATTGAAAACCTAGCCCCGGAACTTCAAATGGAAATTATTGATCTACAGTGCAGTGATATAATTAAGAACAAATATCAAAACTCATCTTTGTTGGAATTTTATAAGAGTCTTCCACAGACGCAATTTTATAATTTGCATAAATTTGCTCGTGGGCTGTTTTTTGTTTTTGGTACTACTTATCTGTGTGAGAAGACCTTCTCCAAAATGAAGTACACAAAAAATGTTTACAGATCTAAATTAACTGATGAGCATCTTAAATCTCTTTTAATAATTGGTACAACTAAAATTAGTCCACAACAACAAACTATTGTCAGTGGAAAATCTCAATTACATAAATCTCATTAGTATTTCATTTGTCATTATGCTTGTTATAAGTTATGTTTATATTTAAAATGTATAAAATGTTAGTTGGATTCATTTCAATAATTTGTTAGCTATTATATACTGAAGTTAAATTTTCTGCATATTATACATGTCTCAACTCATTACAATTCTGTGTTTCTTTATCCAACTTATCACAAAAACAATAACAATAAGCCTACAACAATGTTATGAGTAGTTAGCCCATGATCATATCAATGTAGATGTCATATTAATAATTATTCATTATAAAATTAGAACACTTCAGTAAACTAAATTTAATTTGCTATAAAAAATATGTTCTCTAAATTGAGTTTTGAAGTATGCTAGCTCTCCGCGGGCCGGACAAAATCTGCCCGCGGGCCGGATATGGCCCTCGGGCCGTAGTTTTGAGACCCCTGGTGTAGACGAGCTTTGTAATTTTGTCAATAGTTGCTTTCAAAATTCAATCGAAATTTACGAAGTGAGGGCTGAATGTTACTCTGTCGTAGGTATCACGGAATTAAATTGTATTAAAGAGAACAAAATTGTTTTTTCAGTGAAATATCTGTTTCGTAACAAAAAAAATAGAGGACTGTGAAATTATCACACCAAAGTGCCGATTTAAATCATACCAAAAAAGTAAAATAAGAAATAGTTTCCGAGAAAAAAACTCGTCATAGTTAAAAATCCTGTCATTTTAAAAATGTATACTTAATGCATTGGCAGCTTCATACTTGATGCAGGCCTCAAAAACTGGCTGATCATAAGAGAGACTGCTGCCTCTTCAAACATTTAATGGTAAACATGTTTAATCAAATTTGTTGCCATCTAATAGTCTCAAAAAATAGGGTACAACCTGGAAAAGTTTTCGAGTACCACTTATGTTCAGTAGGAACATTTCATAAATCCCCAAATATATGGCATTTCATAAGCCCTCAATATAAGTACAAATACTTAGATTTCTTCACTTTTTATCTCAGAATAGAGAATACCAGAATAGAAAATACCAGAATCGAAAGAATACTGAGATTTCTGTCAAGCAAAATAAAAATAAATCCATTGAAAAGTAATGCAGGACTAGGAAATGAAGGAGTGCAAATTGCAATATTAATCAAAAACTTATTCAAATCCTTTAAATGTTAAGAGTGGAAAACAATTCCGACATTTACGCGTAATGTATACTGTAAATTTATTCCGACGATGGATGTATTGATTACACTCTTGAAACTTAAAATTTTTCGTAAGCGAATCGAGAAAATACGTTTCTGTTCAGTACGTGTATATCGTGGCGGATATTAAGACTCATATGCCAGTCTATATATATATATATATA